AGGTGACCTCTTGGTGGCCAGCACCCAAGGATGCAGGGGAACAGCTCCTTGCTCTCCGGTCTTGGCATTGCTCCTGGGTCAGGCTTCATCCACCCGGTGATATCGCTTGGTTCTACCCTTTTTACTAACATACCACAGGTGACTCGCCTCTGGCACTGGAGAATCCTGGTGGCTCCCTTAGGTCTGAAGCTCAGTAGGAATGGAGGCAGACAGAGGGCCGGCAGTCCTTCCAAGTCAGTTTTGAGATTGGTAAAGTCCAGCATGGTGGCACATGCCTGTAATCCCATCACTGGGAGGCAGAGGCAGACAGATCTCTCTGAGTTTGAGGCCAGCCTGGTCTACAAAGAAAGTCCAGGACAGCCAAGGCTCTCCAGAGAAAACCTACCTGGAAAACAAACAAACAAAAAACTGTCTTAGGTTTTCTATTACTGTGATGCATCACTATGAGCAAAAATGGAGTTGAGGAGGATCGGGTTTGTTTTGTTTAGGATTCCGCATCACAGTTCATTGCTGAAGGAAGTCAGGACAGGGACGAATACAAGGTCGGAGCCTGGAGGCAGGAGCTGATGCTGAGCCTATGGAAGGGTGCCGCTTACTGGTGGTTCCTCATGGCCTGCTCAGCCTGCTTTCTTATAGAACCCAGGGGCTGGCATCACATACATTGTGCTGAGACCTCCCCAATCAATCACTGAGAAAATGTTTTCCAGGCTTACCTCCAGGCCAGTCTTACAGAGCCATTTTCTCTGTTGAGGTTCCCTTTTCTCAGATGACTCCAGCTTGTGTCAGGTTGACATAAAACTAGCCAGCATGGTGTCCAAGTCATTCATCTGGGGACATTTTGTAGAATTCACACCCTAGATGGAAAGAGTAATCCACTTTCATGGGGGCACCATCACAAGGTGCCTGCCTCCTCCATTTCCCCAGATGGGAGGGGACTGCCCCTGGAACAGCAGGAAGGGGTCCCCTCAACTTTGTCTCCAGGGCTGTCAATAGGTGGCAGAAGCCCATAAATGGCTTGGATGGAGATGGGGAATGATGGGGGAGATTTAGAAGGGCTGGCTCTTAGGAGATGTGGCGATCCGGAAGGTTCCTAAAAGGCGGTGTTGGGGGAGGGGGTGCCGTGTTAACTAAAGGCTGTGAGGACTGCCGGTTGTCCAACCGCGTGAAGCCTCAGCTGTCGTCCCTGTGGGCTGAGGGCTGGGAGAGTGACCTCCTAGGCTTTGCCGCCTTCCAGTCCGCTGCTGGGGAGGCAGGAGTGTGCAGATGGAGAGGAAGAGCCTGCTCCAGGGTCTTCAGGCATCTCTGACTTCAGCTGGGCAGTGTGGCTGCAGGTCCACCTCTTGGGCTCCTGTGGAATGAGAAGAGCAGAGCCAGAGCCATCGGCCTCCAGCCAACCTCATGGTGAGGCCATAGCTTGGCTGAGTGAGGCTGAGACCGTCAGCCCAGGGCGTCAAGGCACCAGGATCATGTCCATTGGTACCATGGACATGACTTGAGCCCCAGTGGCTTCAGAGATGTTAAATGCCTGCCTTGGACACTGGAAGAGAAAGCCGCTCAACGAAGATGCAAGACTCTTCATTCTGCTTTCTAACTCTGGATTTCTCCCAGAACAGTAGGGGTGGAATGAATGACATGACAGGGTGTGGGTCACATGACCCGAACCCCACACTTCTTTTTCACAGTAAAAGTCCCCGGGGGACCCACCTCAGGCCTCTGCAGGCAGCAACAGTAAAAACACATCTTCAGACAGAGCTGCTTTCTGTGGGCACGGAGAGGAGAATGTTCAGCGTGGCTGACCCAACCAGGGCATCATGTGGGTGGTGACGTGGCTGTTCTCCCGTAAACTTGGTAAACTTGGAAGCATTTGCTTCATGGCCATTTGGTTTTCAACATGCCTCAGATGTTTGAGGTTGAGTTTATTATCTTTTACAGTTCGAGACAGTGTAAATGTATGAATGTGTGGCTACGTGTGCGTGAGTGTTACGTGTATGACGAAGCATAGGTGATTTTGCCCATTTACATTTATGGCTAGGCTGATCTCCTTTTTGAGACTGAGTCACGTCTGTTAACTTTGTGTGTGGATCTGTGCACGCTGCAGCAGCACGTGGAGTCAGGACGACATGCAGGGGCTGGTCCCTCCTTCCGTTACGTGGAGGTCTGAGGTCATCAGGCTAGGCGGCAAATGCCTTGACCTGCTGAGCCATCTGCCCGCCCAGTCTTGAACTTCTGATCCTCTTGCTTCTCCCTGGGTTTGCAAGCCTGCAGCAACCTGCCTGGCTTATGCAGTGCTGGGGCTTGAACCCAGGGCTCTGTGCATGCTGGGCAAGCACTCTGCCGACTGAGCCATATGCCCAGCCCCTGTTTGTTTTGCTGTGAAGGCAAACTGGCTTCAAACTCTTGGTCAGTCTCCAGCGCTCTGAGTTGGCCACACTGTCTGATTGTAACATGTAACTAGCTCTTTTTAGCTGGAGCTGCACCCCGCCCCTAACGCTTCCCTTTAGATTTCTTAGCCCTTATCTCGTCTTTCTAAATCTCTGTTCCTGACACAGACTTCAGGTTCTTGACTCTTTGGATTGCCATATATGGCTGTCAACGAACAGAGGACTTTGAACTTCCTCTTGTATGCTTCTTAGCCCATTGACTTCCTTGCCCCTCCCATGGGCCGATGGGCTAGGGGTTGAGACGCAGGCTTGCTCTCCATTCTCTTCTCTGACCCTGCCTCCCACTGTCTGGGTCACATGCATAAACTTAGCATTGCTGACACGGGGCTGATGGGAACCAGCTTTACATTTGGGGTTGGCCAAGGCTCTCTCACCCCACCCCTACCTTTGCCCAGGCCTTATCTTAACCAGGTAGAAAAGGCTAATGTATTGAAGGTGGATTTGGTCAGAGAGTGTGTGAGGCTTGGCAAATGTTAACCCCTCCTCCAAATCTCTCCATGTCTCCGTGGCCTTGCTCCTGGTTTCTAGAAAGCTGAGAACCTCATCTTTCTGGTGCTGTGGTGACTTGCTTGTTTTTGTTTTTTATTGATATAAAATTCATTTAATATAGAATTAACTATTTTAAGCACCCGTCCCTGGTTCCAAAGATTTTTGCTTTCCTTGCTTTATATATAGTAGTTGGGGGGTGAGGAGTCAGTCCTGGGGATTGAACCCAGGGCCTGCTAAGGTAAGCCCTCTACCTCTGAGGCAGTAGTCCCAGCTCTGTGACCTTGGTCAGGCATTGCAGCCTTTAGCCTCTGTCTTGTCTGCAAAATGAAAACAATCTTGATTATCTTTTATGATTTTTACTTTTTGGTTTTTTGAGACAGGGTTTCTCCCTGTAGCCCAGGCTGGCCTTGAACTCACAGATATGCCTCTGCTGGGATTAAAGGCTTGTGCCTCCATCCCCTCCCCACCCCCTTGCCTTTTGGAATCCTGCTCCAGGATGACTTGGGGCAGAGCTGGACTCCACATGTAGAGAGAGCTGGCCTTCTGACCTTCCCTGCTTTGCAGTCACTTCCAAAGGCCGTGCAGTTTTACCACATGCAATTTTAGATGACATCTGTCATTTCCTGTTCTGTCTCCCGCCCCTGGTCACCCCTGGTCTGCCTTCTCTGTGGATTTGCCTTTTTTTGGACATTTCCTGTCAGCGGAACCAGACACTGGGTGGCTCTTCGTGTCTGTCTGCTCTTGGTCATGTTTAGGGGGTTCACTCGTGTTGCAGCAGGCAACTTCACAACTTCTTTCGTTGCTGACTAATTAATGCTTCACCATGTGGGGCATCCACTCTTTGTAAACCATCTTTACCCACCTGTTGGCCAGCTCCCAGGGGCGTTTGGCTGTTGGTGACTCACACTGCTGTGAGATCTGGGTGGGTACTTCCGTGCCCAGGTGATTTCATTTCTCTCAGGTGTACGGTCCCAGGGTCGTAGTGGGGTTTCACATTTGACGCTGTGGTGTCGGAAGTGCTGATGGCAGTGCCACAGGCCTGCGGATGTTGCTCAGTGGTAGAGTGCTTGCATGACAGACGAGGCCCTGGCTTCCTCCCCCAGGACTAGCGGGGGCATGGGGGTATGGTCTGTTGTGTGTTTGCACCTCTTACCGTACAGAACTCATTGGCCTTGAACTTCTGAGGCTGGCCGCGAACTCCTGACTCCACCTCCCCAGTGCTGGCTTTGCACTGTCACCGCCTCAGTTATGTGGATAACTTCCCAACCTTTGGACTCGGCTTTGGACAACTTTCTCCTTCTTCCCTTGAGATTTTCTTGGTTTATTGTAGCTTCTAATCTACATATAAAATAAAACAACCCTCACAGTTCAGTGTTAACTGATAAGATACCGCCTGCTTCACTCATTTGAGCCTGGGCCAGGTCCTTGGATTATCTGGGCCAAGCCTGCCCTGCCCGCTTGCTGGTTGGAAAGCCCAGGTACCTGCTGGCGGACTCAGCAGGCCTAGTAATGGCTGAGCCAGCATGTGAGAGCCTGTCACTCCCGCTTCTCCCAACCTCAGGTACAGCTGTGTAACACGGTCTGATAAGCAGTAGCCACAAGCCACAGCCTACTTCCTTCTGTCCCCTTCCTGTAATGTTTTGAAATACAGTCTCACTATGTAGTTCAGGATAGTCTTAGAATCATGGTGGTTCTCCTGCCTTGGCCTTCTGCATGCTGGGATTGCAGGTACGTGCCAGCGTGTCTCTCTCCTCCTTCTCTCTCCCCCTCCTCTGGCCAGCTCCCCACCTCACACAGATGAAGAAGTTGACAGCTGAAAGGGACCTGCCCAAGGTAACACAGCCAGGAGAAGACAGTCTGGGAGTCGTGTGTGGATCCAGCCCATGGCCATGGCATCTCTACCCAGACGCCCATCTGATCTGGGTGTCTGGCACAGGCTCCGTTGGCACGGTTTCGTTGCAAAGCACTGTGACTGTCTGGGGTGCCAGGGCTTCCTGCTGCGTTGCCAGGGCAACCCTGGACTGGCCCCCTCCTCCCTCACAGACTCTGAGCTCTTCTTTGTCCTTGCAGAATTTTGCAAAGGAGTTTGTGATCAGTGATCGGAAGGAGCTGGAGGAAGACTTCATCAGGAGTGAGCTGAAGAAGGCCGGAGGAGCCAATTACGATGCTCAGACAGAGTAGCCGCAGCCCCGCACCCCAGAGCCATCTGCCTGCTCCACCAAGGAGGAGACTGCCACCTCGCGTCACCAGCCCACCAGGGAGGAGAAGCCATGAGAGGCGCTGGCACCACCAGCGTGTCCACCCCCTCCCCTGACCCCCCTCGCTCCTCTCAAGCTCACCAAGTATCATTCTTTGAGACCGCCCCCTTTTGTTTTAAAGGAAAGTCATTTTGGCACCAGGGCCATGTACACCGTCAGACCCCAGGTGCCTCTCTGTCAGTGGACCTTGGCCTGGCATTCCCCTTGCTCTCACTGTGGCTTGCCTGGTCTGAGCTACCCTGGCCTCTAACTTGCTGGGGCCTGGCCTGGGTGCCATCCCAGCTTGCCCTGGCTGTTTCCTGCTAGCCCTGTGCCAGCCGCCATGCCAGGAGCTTTTCACACCCTAAAGCCTCCATGAGCTCACACATGCTCCTCAGAACCCCTAGACTTGGCTCCAGGCCTCACCCCTACCCTGTCCAGAGTGGCCTAAGTGGTCTGGCAGATGCTGCTCAGCAGTGACAGGTTCCGGTCTGGTGTGGACCAGGTACGAAGCGACAATTTGCCTTAAATCTTGCCTGGCAGTGGCTCTGCCACGTGGTCTAAACTACCCTTTTGGCGAAGTCCTTCTGACGTATGAGAGGTCTGAGTCCAGGTGTGGTGGGAGTTCAGGGTCAAGCTCAGGGCCTCCCAGGGTGACAAGGATGGAAAGGTCCCCTGCAGACAGGAAGGCTGGCACCTGGAAGGCAGCCGTTGGAATCTGCACCACAAATTCCAAAGATGGCTTTGTTTGCTGTTAAAGAAAGCTGAGGCAGGCTTGGCGTCTCTCGAGTGTGTGAAGGTGGTTCTTTTCCTCTCTCCTCGCGCTTTTCATTTTGGGGAAGAATGCTGCCCTGGACTGGGCTATGAGGACCATCTCTGGCATTCTAACAGTTTACAGAAATAAATGTGTTTTTCAAGAAAAAAAAATGAGTCAAGGTGTCTGGTTTGTGTGTGATTGTAGGAATTTAGTAAAGGAGCTGCTGGACCCTGGGCATGTGGGTTCTTCAAGACATTTTTACGTAGCACAGGCTGGCCTCAAACTTTTGATGTAGGAGGATGGCTTTGAACCCCTAATTCTCATGTGGCCATCTTTCAAATGGTGAAGTCACAGACATATTCCACCTTGCCTTATTTTAGTAGCTTTTGAGCACCCTCCCCCCTCCATCCTTGAAAGGGGCCCAAGTTCATTTTCCAGCACTCACGGTGTACAGCCTGTGGGTATACCTAGCCCAGGGTATCCAGGTTGTCCCTGAACTCACTCTATAGTCCAGGGAGGCCTTGAAGTTGTAAATCCTCCTGCCTCCTCCCAAGTGGCTGGGCTCACAGGTCTGAGTTGCCAGCCTTAGGTGGGCCTTTTGTTTCTAATGAGACAGGGCCTCACTGTAGCCTAGACTAGCCTTCAATTTGTGGCAATCCCCTGCCACAGCCTCCTAAATTCTGGGGTTACAGGTATGTGCCACCACTCCTGGCTTAGATTTTATAATTCTTAACCATAGAAATAGATGTTTGAGCCGGGCGCAGTAGCAGATGCCTGTAATCCCAGCACTCATGGAAACAGGCAGGTAGAGCTCTGTGAGTTCAAAGCCAGCCTGGTCTACAAAGCAAGCCCAGGACAGCCAAGGCTACAAAGGGAAACCCTGTCTCAAAAACAACAAACAAAAGAAATAGATGTTTATCTTTATTTTATTTAAAAAAAAAAAAATGGAGAGACTACTCTCCCTCCCCTGTCATCAGGCCATCTTCAAGCTGCCGAGTGGCACAAAGCCAGTAGTGAGTGACCCCGTCCATGATAAGCTCATAGTCATGGCGCCTAACGCCTGCTTTTCTGTTTATAGCTGTGTGTCTTCAGGCAGGTTAATCATCCTGAGTTTTGAATTCCTCACAGCAGAATGGGCGGCAATGCACACACTGGGTGAGACAGAAATCCCAGCACTTGAGAGGAGTTGGGGGGGTGGAGGTCAGAAGTTCATAGTTCTTCTCTGCTACAATCTGCACAAGGCCAGCCTGGGCTACATGAGACCCTCTGTGCCACCACCCCAGAAGAGAGAAAGGCTGTCTCTGTAAGCCTTCCCTGCCTTCTACTCTACCCTGCCCTTACTTGAGGGCTTATGTAGGGTGGGTTGGGGTCGGGTGGGTGGGGAAGGCAGGAGAGCCGAAGGAGAAAGCCAGCCGGTGGCTGTGGAGTATGTATGTGCTCTATTGCTGATTGGTCTCTGGGGGACTTGTCTGTTTCACAACCTCAGCCCTCCCTTGGGACCCTGGCACTCTGCTTATACTCTAGGGGTTATCTAGAGCTAGAAGGAGGAGTCCCACCTCAGGTCCCAGGGCGCCATCCAGACTGGGGAAAAGGTCTCTTTTCTGAGGGTGTATGCCCTGGGTTTAGTCTGATTCAATCTCCTGTTCCCCATTCCTAGAGAACCGCAGAAGAGATTAAAATGAGGCTGAGTGAGGTTAGCCCAGGTGACTAAGAGGAGGTGCCAAGTAGCAGCTCAGGACTCGGGTAGTCTCACTTAGCCCAGGCTGGCCTTGAATTCAACACTTGGCTGACAATGACTGTGGATTCCTTATCCTGCCTCTACTTCTGGTGTGCTGGAACTCACCACCACACCCAGCTTTGTGTAGTTTTGGAAAGCACGCTGCCACCAACCAAGCTTCTCCCACTAGGCCCATGGTTGTGCCAGGATTCTTCTAGAATGTTCCTGGGACCCTGTGAAGTGGGCTATGAAGAGGTGTGAGCAGTGGTTCCCATAAGCTCTGTCCATGCCCAGACTGTGGTACTCCATTGGAAGGCATCGTTAGGGGATGCAGTTAAAGGCGAGCCTGGGGAAGGAACATGGCAGTGTCAGGGAGATCTGAAGCCCAGAGGGGAGAGGAGAAAGAGGAGAGTGTGAAGAGGGGCAGCCACAGCTAGGGAACTCCTGAGGACCTGCAAAGCTGGAAGACGCAGGAGGAGGGCCTCCAGGGGAGGCAAGGGCTCATCCTGGGGCCTCAGGGCACAGTACATATCCTGTTGCTGCTTAAACTTTAGTTTAAGCCTTTCTTCCACTGCCCATCCCAGCCTCTCCAGGGTGGGACTGTATCCCTGTGCCTGGTGTGGTCCTTGCGCGCAAGGCAGGAGTCTGGGCAGTGGTTGGCAGTTTGGCTTACCTCACATGGCCCTTGGCTAAAACTGGAGTTCTGCTGGGCTACCGAGTCAGGCACTCTGCCAGGTCCAAACAGGGGCTTTCCTGGTTGTCTTCTGAGCAATGGCTCTGCCCTGAGCTCCACCTCAGGAAGGTGGCTGCTTTGTTCACCTATCTGACCACAGAGCCAGCCTCTCCCCACCAGGGGCCTAAGCCCAACCACTCCATAATGGTCTGAGGGAGCTGAGGATAAGAGGGAGCACCCCCATGCTGAGGCTCCCAGGCTGGGCTCCCCACCGTCTCCCAGGTAGAAGATTTTTGTGCTCTGAGGTCGGACAGGAGACATAGATGTTGCCCTGAGGCTCGTGGAGGGTCTGAGGTGAGGAAGTGCTGGGCCTTCAGAGCCTGGGGAGCCCTTCCTACCCTGTATCAAGGCTGGTTAGGGGGTGCTGCCTGCAGGCAGGAGTTGGGGGTCAAGAGAGGAAGGAGGCCCCTGGGAAAGAGGGGCAACAGTTCACCCCAGAGTTTCTGGCCAGCCCGCTCAAGCGGATGCTAATGTGTTTCTTTGCTCCTTGGCTCATGCCCAGCAGTGCCCATGGCTGATGTCACTCTTGGTGGCTTGCCCAGCCATGGTGGCACGCACAGGGAAGGCACACAGTGAATCTTCCCATAAATCCTCAAGCATAAAGGTGGGCACCGCAGGAGCACCAGTCAGGCATGGCAGTAGCAGGATCTAGGGGAGAGAGAGAGAGAGAGAGAGAGAGAGAGAGAGAGAGAGAGAGATTGTTCTACCTGTGCTGGTAGACAAATGGTGGCCGGAAACCAACAGTGTCCGCCTAACGGGTGGGTGGGAATCTTCGAGGTGAGTCTTTTGCCGGTTTGAAGTGGAGATTAGAGATGCCGTGTGTGGCAGGGTCTTTCAGTGTAGCCCGGGCTGGCTTCCAACTCACCATTCTCCTGCTTGAGCTTTCAGAGTGCTGGGATTATAGGCATGTGCCACCCCACCGGGCTCTATATCTGCTTTTAATTTTTGGGAAAACAAAAACAAAAACATTAAATAGTTTTGTCTCTTTGAACCCTACAGCCAAGGGTGGCCTCAAACTCACATTCCTGCCTTAGGCTCCCCCAGTACTGGAATCAGAGGGACACTCTGTGCAGGGCCTTATGGTGCTTTCGTGTGCCTGGGTGTGCGTATGTGTGTGTGCACACTCATGAGCATGCGTAAGGGAATGAGTGTGCAGTGTTTGCATGTGTGTGTAGAGGCTGGAGGACAATGTTCATCATCTTCCTCAGTTGATCAGTATTTTATTTTATTTATTTTATTATTTTATTTTATTATTTTATTAATTTTATTTTATTTTATTTTATTTTATTTCATTTCATTTTATTTTATGGAGACAGGGTTTCTCTCTGTAGCCTTGGCTGTTCTAGACTAGCTTTGTAGACCAGGCTAGCCTCGAACTTGCAGAGATCCACCTGCCTCTGCCTTCCTGAGTGCTGGGATCCCCGTGTGCCACCATGCCCGGTTTCTTTTTATTTTAAATTAAATTTAATTTAGCTTTCCTGTGTCCGTGTGGGTGGTGGGGGCGATGATGGGGGTGCACACACATTCGCCATGGCACTTGTGTGAAGGTCAGAGGACAGCTCTGAGGAGTCTGTTCTCTTCTTTGGCTATGAATTCCAGGAATCTAACTCAGGTGGTCTGGCGTGTACAGCAAGCACCTTAACCCCACCCCCGCCCCCCAGCCATCTCCCTGGCTCCTCACCTGACTGTCACAGGCTCTCACTGACCCTAGTGCTGTCCGAAGAGTCCTGACACCTGCCTCTGCCTCCTGAACACCAGGATGTACCACATGCTGGGATTCTTACACTACAGGCTCACGTGCTAGGGATCTGAGCTCAGCTCAGCTTGGGCAGCCTGCGCAGCCAGCACTGGATGAGCCAAGCCGTCTCCCCAGCCCCTCATTGTACTTTACCAATCAAACCGTCCCGTGGGACACCGAGCAGCCATGTTGCCTGTAACAGGTGACTTGGTTCAAAGTCCACCTGGAGGGAAAGCCAGCAGGGAGCGAGGGAACAGGGGAGCCCAAAGGGGTGCAGTGGGGAGGGACGGGAGGACTGCTGGGCTGAAGGTGGAGTTCAGTGACAGAGCTGTTGCCTGGTGTGCACAGAGTTTGAAACCCAGAACTGTTCGAAAACAAAAACAAACTTAAAAAAAAAAAATCATTCCGAATTGAGTCCGAAGTATCCTGCTGTCCCAGAGTGAGGCCGGCTCTGTTGAGAGGCAAACTGTTGGTCTGAAAGATCTAGAAAAGCGGTTCTCACCCTGTGGGGTTGAGATCCCTTTGGAAGGGGGGGTCACATGTCGGATATCCTGCCTATCAGGCATTTCATTTACATTACAATTCATAACAGTAGCAAAATTACAGTTATAAAGTTGCAACGAGACAATTCTATGGGGGGGGTCACCACAACGTGAGGAAGTGTATTGAAGGGTCGCAGCGTTAGGAAGGTTGAGAACCACTGCTCTAGATGGAAAGCCTGTCTTCGGGAGCTTGTAGGACGGTCCAGATGGCTTTCAGGCCCAGGGCCTGCACGGCCTGCCTTCCCCAGCCCCCCAGCAGCCTGCTTTGGCCTGGGCGCTTGCTGGCAAGGAGCACGCTTCCCTATCCCCCATGCCTCCAGCCTCCAGCAGCCCAGAGCCTGGTGAACAGAGCGTGCCAAGAATAACCACTTAGTTCTGTCAAACGAAAATTCGAAACTCCTACCTCAAAGGAGATAAGAGATGTTTATCCGGAGGGACGGTGGCCCGGGAGCCCAGAGTTAGGTTCCTCCAAATTCCATATTCCAACCTGTAATCAGCTTCACAAAGATTTTACAGAAACACAGCAAAGAAAAGTTGTAAGTCAAGGAGGTTACAGCAGAGAGAGGTCTCAGATGCTAGCTGAGCCACTTAGCATTTTAGTTGGTGGGAAGATGGTTTCGTTAATACACTCCGAAAGATTTCATCTGTTAGTCCCCGGATGGTAGGTTCACGGAGAGGGAAGGAATGGCAGTTTCGGGTGCTAAAGAGAGTCCAGGATAAATTGAAATTAGGCTCTGGACTTTCAGCATCCCGACCTCTCTGCAGACGCTGGAGTTCTCATCAGTTAACCAGCCTCATGGACGGTTCCACTGAACGTGCGATGTCTTTCCGGGACTTCTGTTCACAGGTCAGAAAGGGTGCTACCTAGATGAGTGAGCCCACGGGGGCTAGCAGCCTGCCACTCTGTTCACTTTCAGGATGGATCTCTCGAAGAGCGTCTTGGACCCACGGGGAGAGATGGCAGCCCTGTAGCTCTCCCCCCACTGCCCGGTGAGTCTCAGGTCCTTTACCGGCCGTTTGCTTGGTGCTGGCATCATTCGCCACACCTGGAGACTGGTAAGGTAGAGTCTGTGGCTGGCTCATCCTCCCTGCTGAGTGAGTCTGCCGGCTGGGCTCAGGAGAGGGGCAGTTGACAATTCCCAGCACAGCCCCAAGGCACCGCTGTAAAGTCCACCCTTGGCCCGCAGAGAGCCTATCCCACTTCAGGCTGGAGAAGAAACGTGGATTCCATTTTGAATAGACTTAATTTTTCTTTAAGGTTTTGGCATGCCGTTAACCATGGACTTGGCCTGGCTTGGTGGGACACACCTTTAGCCCCAGCATGGAGGAGGCAGAAGCAGGTGGCTCTCTGCGGAGTTTGCAGCCAGCCTACAAACTACATAACGGGTTCCAGGACATTCAGGACTGTTCAACAAACCAAAACAACAAAAAAAAAAAAAAAAAAAAAAAAGGGAAAACTATCGTTACCATAAAAATCCCACGAAGTGAGGAAGATAAAACATACAAATGCTGCCTCCCAGGGGTCACCACCATCATGTCCAGGAGTACAGCCCTCCAGACTCTATTAATATAGTGTGTGCACACTTTCGTCTTCAAATTGTGAGCGTGCACACACGTGTTAGCGTAAGGGTGTGGGCTCCGGAAGTCAGTATTGGAATGTCTTTTCTTGATAGCTCTTGACTTCTTTTTTTAATCTTATTTTTAATTGTTTTGAGGCCTGGTGAGATGGCTCAGTAGGTAAAGGCACTTGCTTCTTAGCCTGGCAACCAGAGTTCAGTCCCCAGGACCCACAGGCTAGAAGGAAAGCACCAGACCTCCTGTAGGTTGCCTGACCTCTGTGCATGCAAACTCCCACCGTCTTCTTCACCTCCCCCCCAAAAAAGAGAAAAAATTGTTTTTACTCATTAATTTTTATCTTATGTGTTCATTCGCCTGCATCTATGTCCGTGCACCACATGGGTGCAGTGCTCATGGAGGCCAGAAGAGGGCGTCATATCCCCCTGGAACTGGAGTTACAGACAGTTGTGGGCCACGGCGTGGGTGCCGGGAACGGAACCTGGGTCTTCTGGAAGAGTAACCAGTGCCCTTACCTGCTGAGCCAGGTAGCTCTTCAGCCTCATATATATATGTTGAATGTAATTAGCAAAATTACATGTGTGAATGGTGCACGAGGTCAGAGGACAACTCACTGTAGTCGGGTCTCTCATTCCACCACGTGGACCCCGGCGATTGCAATCCGCCGCGGGTTCGGCAGTGGCAGCCTTTACCCACCGAGCCATCCCAGGGGCCGCTCATCCTTTATTTTTTTAATCAGGGTCTCTCTGAAACTCCTGGAGTTGGCTAATGAGCTTCAGGGACCCCCTTGTTTCTGCCACCCTACCCTCCACAATATTTAGGCAATAGCCTAAATACAGGCAATAGCCACGGTGCTGTCTGTTGTTGCTTTTTTGTTTTTGTTTTTGTTTTTTGAGACATTGTTTATTGTGTAGCCTTGGCTGTCCTGGACTCGCGTTGTAGACCAGGCTGGCCTCAAACTCACGGAGATCTGCCTGCCTCTGCCTCCTCAAGTGCTGAGATTACAGGTGTGAGCCGCTGAGCCTGGGGCTATTTGTGTTTTTAATGTGTGTGCTGAGAGTCTGACCTCGTGTCGTCCTGCTTGAGCAGCAGGTGCTTCACCGATGGGGCCATTCCCCCTGCTCTGTCACTCTCTGTGACGGGCTCTTTTCACCTGTGTTCTGTAGACTGTCCTCTCACCCGAACCATGGCCGTCTCTGAGTTCCTCTGCGCGTGCTTGCAAAATCGCCACAGCTGGCCTTGCTGAGCACTGACTTTCCTCATAAAGGGGGAGGGCAGGGAGGATTATGGGACACTCACCTAAGTATCCAGTCCTGCAAAAAAGTGGTATGCGATTCTGCCCTAATTGCAGGTGGCCCTTTAGAGGACACAGGTGGGAAAGGACTGGGGAGAGGTGGCTCATTTCATATGGTTACATGGGAATCACCCATGCTGGGTGTAGAGCTTCCAGTGGCTGCTTTAAGGAACCCCTCACCTGATGCTCTCTAAGTCAGTGCAGTAAACTCACTGTTTCCCCAGAGTGCGATGTGATGGAAAGGTTCTCTGGTTTGTCACTGGAACTTAGGAGGAAGGCTGAGTGTTGTTTTCATCTCCCCCAGGGGAGGAATTTTATCAATAACTTGTGCCACATCGGGAGCACTTTCTCACACCCTCAAATACTATGCATCATTTTATTTCTTCCAAGACAGGGTGTCACCACCTAGCCCAGGCTGGCCTTGAGCGAGCTTGCAACTCTCCTGCCTCGCCCTCTCAGGTGCTGGGATGACAGGCATGTGTCACCTGTCACTTGCTCGGCTCATTCCTTGCGGCTCTAGGATAACTTACTCTGGTTCTCTGTCTAGAGCTGGGAGGGGCAAGCTGCTGACCCCCAAGCCAGACTCAGTCCCTGGTGTGACGACTCAGCTCGCATGCACGGCAGAGTACGTGGCGTACTGTATCCTGACACTAACACCACCAGTGTCCCCACACTGTGCAGTGAGCAGCTTGTCCAGCAGCACCCAGAGGCTCCTCCTCAAATCCTGAATTGGAGAGATTTCCCATGAAAGCCCAGCTCTGAGCTTTTCTTAGCACACCCGAAGATGCAATCATCCTGGCCTCACACCCCTGGAACTAGGGCTACAACCCAGTCAAGGCTGTGTCCTGGCTAGGTTTTACATCACTTTGACACAGCTAGGACCATCTGGGAAGGAGGAATCTTAATTAAGAAGATGCCTCCGTAGGGTAGTCCCGTAGGTAAGTCTGAGGAGGCATTTTCAGAACTGACGCTTTGTTGATGCCGGAGGGCCCAGCTCACTGTGGACGGTGCCGTGTCTGGGCAGGTGGTTCTGAGCAACAGGAAACAGCAGGCTGAGCAATCCACAGAAAGCAAGCCAGTAAGCAGCACCGCTCCAGGGCCTCTGCTCCAGCTGCTGCCTCCAGGTAGGTCCTGTGAGTTCTCTGGAGGGTGGACTGCAGGCTGTAAGCTGAAATAAACCCTTTCCTCTCCGAGTTGCTTTTGCTTCTGGTGTTTAGCATAGCGATAGACAGGCTGCCTGAGGGGAAGGGGGTGCTCTCTGCCACCAGCCCCCATCTCTCTCTCATCCTTTCTTCAGCTCCTTTACCTTAGCTTCTGCACAGAAGGCGTCTGCTCTGGCTGGCACTTTTAAATGTTTGTTGAATGAGTTGGTGGAATCACTTTCTCAAGACACAATAGTCTAGAGTCAGAAGCCGGCTGGCCACACTTGATGTAAGCAGCCCAGATGAGGGTTGCCATGGCAACCCTGGGACTATCTGGTAGACAGCTTCAGGGACCATGGCAGAGCATCCAGGAAGTGGCACCCCTCCCTGCCACAGCCCAGATCCAGCTGGTACTGGGGCCATAATCACCTTAGGTTTCCTTTTATTTCCTCACTGTAAACCCCAGATTGTGCGACCACCTTAAACCACAGACCTCTTTGGGCTTCAGCTGCACATTTCCCCCACACCCCCCCCCTTTCTTGACACAGGGTTTCACTGTATAGCCCA